TCAGCAGGACAGCCCTCAGTGGGTGGAAATAAGTCCTGGCAGCTTAGCCAGTGCCTTCCTCTGTTACTTACAGTCCAGGTCAGCTCTGTAGATGCCACTACTATTATTACATTTCTCAGTTAACAGTATCAAAGTGTTGCTGTAGCTGTGTTGGTCCAAGTGTTATGCAAGAGGCAGGGTTTTCTGTGGGTGTTGTTTTTTCACTGGATCAACTGCATGATTGGAATAAGGGTGGACAAGACTCCGAATGCCAGGCATTCTGCATCAGGTCCTCATGAAGCTTGATCCTGTGATTCATTCCAGCTATGTGGTGGCCAAAAAAAAAATATCAACTACAAAAAACCACCCGTGCTGCAGTTAGTAGTAGGAATGTTTCTCAGGCTTTGCAGTCTCTCTCATCTTTTTCACTTTAGCAGTAGCTTCCACTGTCTCTTTCTTTGTTCCCTGTTGCACTGAAGGAGTCGGCGTTCTGCTCCCTGCACAGAGCTTGCTGCGTTTCTGACAAGTGGGGTTTCTAGCCTGCCTTGGGTTGGAGCAGCAAGTTCCTCTCAGAATATTTAGAATCTGGAGCCATGTCAGTAGTTGGCTCTAGTTGCACAGTAGAAAGCTCTGCCCTGTTTCTCATTAAAGCTTTCTGTGGAGAAGGCAGTGAGGAGGCTTCTTTCTGGCCGCCTGATCTTCCTTGGCATAGCATCATAATGGCCACTGTTCGGGGTTGGGGGAGGCTTGGGTCCTCAACCCCTGAGGAAGGGACTGTATGCTGTGGAGCAAAATTCTTTGTCAAAATCCGACAAGTTTACAGCAGCTTGGAGATTGGGGGAGCTTCAGGTAAATTTTGCAAAGGATGTTTCCTCTGGCTGTCCTTGCCACAACAAGCTGAAGCAACCCCATTGTTCATTTTTATGGTTGGTTTGGGTTTTAAACCCCATTGTTCATTTTTATGGTTGGTTTGGGGTTTAATGTTAGCCATGTACTTTCTTTCTTGCACTGTCTTCAGAATTGTGAGCTTGAATATTTAGGTGAGCAGTTTCCCCTGCAGTTTTGTTTTAGGCTATCTGCAAACTTAAGCAATTATCACAGGGTTGGTTATTCTTTGTTCCAGTTTTCAATTTTTTTTCCTAATACTTTTATGGGCTAGAACGTTACATGATAAGGAGCTCTGATCCATGAGCAGTTCTACAGCAGAAGATGAATTCTGTCACTTTGGAGTGAGTGCTGCTTGGCTCACCTGGGTTACTCAATCATGAAAAACTAAAGAGAACTGTGTGATGATGAGGGAACCATTATTTTGAGCTTTTGTTTTCTCTTCTCTAGGTTGATTCTTTCAGGGAGCGGATCACAAGTGAGGTAAGTGTTCCTTCTTTGTTGCTCTAGAGCAGGGGTGGGGAATTATATCAGGCGGAGGGCTGCTTACTGAGTTTTGGCAAGCCATCGAAGGCCGCATGACAGGCAGCCAGGGGAAGAAATATATTCATTGTCTACGTTTTTGGGGGGCCCTGTGGGCCAGATAGAACAGCCTGGCAGGCCGCATTTGGCCTGCAGGCCTCATTTTGCCCACTCTTGCCCTAGAGTGTAATGTGAGGCTTTAGTAAGTGTTTTGTTCAGTGTGTCTTTCTCTTTGATTTTACTATGATCTCTGCAGACTCTTTGCTGGCAGTGATTGTCAGCCACTCGCTGAGCAAAGGGGACATGCCACTGTATTGTTACTGTGGCTCTTGGAGAGCTGCCAAAACTGGTTAATCTTCCACTGAAGGCCTACCTGTGAGAGCAATTCATTCCCTCTGGGATATTTGTTAGCTTTGGACAAAGCTGCACACTCCATCTGTGTTACAAGAATCTTAGCCTCTCACGTGTCCTTGAGTGCTGACTAGGAACCTTAGGCACTCTTCTTGTATAACAGTCTGTGGCTTTTTCTCATTCAGGCTGAAGACTTGGTGGCAAACTTTTTCCCAAAGAAGTTGTTAGAACTTGACGGGTTCCTTAAGGTAAGCTGTGTGCTGTCACAGCACTTCCCACTTGGTGCTGGCCCAGACAGGACCATGGCAGTTGGTGCTGGCTTCCATCAAAGGAGGTAACACATGATAAAAGCTGAGGAGCAGTAGTCCAGATGCCTTTAGCCCTAGACAGAGCACGCATGTTTTCAGTTATTTTTCTGTAAGATGCTGGTTTTCGGTCACTTATGTTGCATATGGAGTATTTCTGGACCCTCCGTTTATGTTCCTTCTGTTTTCTTTTTTTTTTTATGTTGCCTTTGGGCTCAGGACTGTACGAAGACATAATTATGGCACTCCGTTTTTAAATCTGTGGCAGTATACTGTCCCACAGTCTTGTCATCCAATAGCCTTTTGTACTTGCTTGTCTTATGAAAGAAATATGAGAGCTGGGACCTTCTGTCTGCTCTGGCTGTTGAACGTGACAAGCTGTTTGATTTGCATTATTATTCTTTTTTAATATAATTTTATTTTCCAGGACCCCATCCTGAACATTCATGATCTTACCCAAATCCACTCAGACATGAACCTCCCAGTGCCTGACCCGATCCTTCTCACAAACAGCCATGATGGACTGGATGGGGTAAGATTACTCTGTTGACTGTGATGCATGCTTCTGCTAATTAAAACTGCATGTTTTGCTGTGGGCTCAGTTAGGCTGTTCCTATTAAAGATGGGCTGCAGCTCCCTGTCATCCTTTGAGAATGGGTCTGTGAAGCCTAGCAATTCCTGTGGGAGGCAATACTCTGTTTTTCTCTGTAATCCTTCCCCAGCTTGAGAGAAGAGTCTGTACTCAAATTAGGATCATAAATGAGGTTTTGTAGTGATTTTCTGTTGCTGATTTGTGAGTAAAACATTTTGTTGTGTGTGCATTTTAGCCAAACATGAAAAAAAGGAAGCTGGAAGACTGTGAAGAGACCCTCCAGGGTAAGAGTCCTCATGTCTCTGTGCTACTGCCTGTCACTGAGCCAGCGCTTCATACCTGGGATATGAAATGGCTTAAGATCCACCAACTCTATCCTGTTAGCCACAGCCGCCACTGCTGTTCGCAGGCCTCTTGCACTGCCTCTTCAAAAACTGAACACTAGGCAGAGATTGAGTCATGAAGGAACCCCCTATGGTTTCTGCTGAAAAGAATTGGTTTACCTTTGTGAGTGTTGCTCTCAAGTCTTCCCACTAATGGAGGCAGAAAGAGCTCTGCCTGGCTGTAGCTTACATGGCTCCCTCATATCTTCATGAAAAGGAAGGTGCCAACCTCATGCTCAGTTGAGATGAGACAAAAGTAGTTTCTACCTGTGGTGGAAGGAGGCTTGTCTTCACCACGTTTCGATTTATTCACAGGTTTGGCCTCGGTTCCATCTTTTTTTCTCTCCTTCCCATGTAGTTGTTTCCAGTACTGCACTAAATATTCCCTTCTCCCATACCGTCCATCTCAGTTGCAATATGCCTGGGCCTGGCTGTCAATGTGAGGTGCTGCAAGTAAACACCTCTTCCTTCTCTGTCACTAGGTACCAAAGTGTTTGTGATGCCCAATGGGATGCTGAAGAGCAACCAGCAGCTGGTGGACATCATTGAGAAAGTGAAACCAGAAATCAGGCTGTTGATTGAGAAGTGTAACACGGTGCGTATAAGGCTGAGGACCCCAAACACTCAGCTGGATGGAGACTGGCCTGCCATGGCTGGTGGAATTGTCATTTTAGTGTCTTCTTCCCATGGAGTCGTGGCTCCCCCAGCTTACAAGGATGGGGTCCAACCTCCTCTTGTTGGGAATTGTAAGGCCCTGCCCAAAAGGAC